GGCCCGCCCCCTTCGGGCTACTCATCCCCCACAAAACACAAGCACATAGCGGAACCCTCCCGTCCCTCTAACCTCCCCCGCACACACACAACCAACAAATACCCCTCAGCAGTTCCCCCCAGGCGGGGGAGAGCGACCCCACCTCGTTGTAGTAGTAGGTCCAGGGCTGCTCCAGAGCCACCCGCAACCGCCGGCCCGTGATGCCCACATCGCGGAGAGCCTCAGCCACCTGCACAACACCACATACCCGGCAAGACATACAAACAAACATACATACAAAGGTCAAGACATGTGACTCCCCAAAACCCAGTTTGGACGAGTGATCTGCGGGTGGGGATGCGTATAATGGTTTCTCTTCCATCTCCCTCTCCTAACCCCCCACCCCCAAACGCCTCTCCTGACTTCTCCCCGCCTTCGAGACCCCTACCCGCCCTTGCTGCTTGTCCCTCTCGCTGCTCTTCTCCCCCCTCTTTGCAGCAGCTTCACTCGCTCGTGGTTCGTCTTTTCGCCCCTTGCCCTGAAAACCCTCTCCCTCCTTTCCGGCCTCCCACACACACACCCTCACCTCCTCCAACGGGGGGGGTGCCAGCTCCTCAGCCAGGCGAGCCAGTGCCTCCATGAAATCACACCGTGTCAAACACACGGCTCGGAACCATTGGGATTGCTCGTCCACCACCACACACAGGGACCGGCTGTAAGCCAGCTTGGCGGCGTGAAGGGTGACACCGGTGGCGTCGCCTGATCAGGCAACAAGGCCACGTTGGCGGGGCGCGGCAAGGTCATAGCTGCACTAAAATGGGCGGCCTTTACATTTTCACGTTTCCGTATTCTTCGTACCCTTCGTATTCATATTCGTGCTGTCATTACTTATTTCGGGTTCGTACAGACAGGTTGAAACCTACAGCTCCTAACCCCCACTCAACCCCGTCCCCCGTTACCCAAATCCTTGCCCTTCCCAGTCCCCCACTCCCCAATATCTGAACCCTAGCTCCCCTCCTCTTCACCCCTCCCCGTCCCCTTCCTCCTCATTCCCCCCCTCTCCCTCCTCCTCACCGCTCCCTCGGGTGCTAGCTCACTCACCAATGACCGCACATGTGTTCAGCAAGCCGATCCAATCCGACAAGTGCATCATCTGGTTCTTAGACGCAGCACTGAACAAGCCGTACAAGGCCTGGGGGATCGCCAAGTGGAGGGCGAAGGTGGGGCAGGCGGGCAGGGGAGCAGGCAGAGCGAGAAGGGGGAAGGGGGATTCAGGACAGGGTCCGGGTATGCGCACAGCCGGACTGTAGGAGAGATTTACATAGGTGGGGGGGAGGGGAAGAGGAACCACGAGCGAGTGAAGCTGATGCCAGGGAAGATAACTGATACGCCACAAGTAAGGAAGGCATAACTAACCAGTCGGCGCTTGTAAAGAAGAAGTCCTCACGATGATGTAGTCATGACGATAGCGGAAACCTACCTACCCTAGCCGCCAAGATTTGAATAAAGTGCGGAAAGCAAGCCCGTAATATTCTAGCGGGAGTGGAGAGGAGGGGGAGGCGCGCATAGGAGGCACAGGCAGCCAACTCGAATCTCTAGCAACCCAAACACAGCACTGTGGGAGAACGACATTACTGACCTAATACCATGCTGCCATACAAATGCCGTACTGTAGTAGCTGGTACACAGTACGGCACACATAACCTCTACAAATACGCGCTAAGCGCGACCACCAGCATCGTGAGAGGCCTTTTCAGCGGCCAGCTACTACACGTACTGCCGTACAACGCGTTCATACACTCACCATGATGAGGTCCATGTTGGCGATAAATAGCTCGTTCACCTCAGGATCGCCGTACAACCGTACAATACGCCACATGTTGGGTTCGTGTACGGCAATAGACGGCAGCACCGGCAGTACCTCCTTCGTCCACATGTGCTCTAATGCTGCCGCTATAGAGCCTGAATGGGGGAACATGTGTATGATGTGTGGGAAAGGGGGGCATATCTTCACCCGTGGCCGCTACCCGGCGAAACCCTGCCTTTCCCGGTATTTGGGGGCACCCTCATCCAGTCACCCTAGTAAACTTCTCAGTGGATCGCTTAGGTTCCGCACCCACCACCAACATCCAATGGAATCTGCCGGATTAACAGCGCCCCAGCTCCATTCCTGATCGGCTCGCAAGTCGACTTTATCCCAGGTCACCACCGTCCATCAACTAGGGGCACTTTACCATCCACCATCGGAAGGATTTTTGACCCTAACGGGTCTATATCCCGGGATCTCCTGGGGGGAATGGTCCGTGCCTTACCAGTAGTGCCTAACCTAGAATAATGTATGTGTATGTATGTGTGTATGTATATGTGTGTACGTATGTGGGGGGGGCCAGAAGGGGGGGGTGAGATTCAGGAAAACCCCGAATTCAAACCTCCGAACGGCGTTTAAACAGCTCAGCATGCTGCTGCAGCTGTGCAGTAGCTGCTCCTCGCAGTACTCTGCTGCTACAGCTACTGGTTATGATGCCCATGCTCGTCCATTGGCCTTAGGGTTTTACCCCCCCAGCCCCGATTGACGCACCGAATTTCTCCCCTCCCTTGACATGTCGAATGGTGGCCAATCTGAGAAGCGACTCGTACCACTCGAAGCGGAGGAAGCTGCGACTGAGAACCGTCTGGGTTCCGTTGTTGTTGGTGGTGGTGGTGTTGCGGAGGTGGGGGGGGAGGGGGCTGTCAGTTAATTTGCCCTGTGTCCTGTGATGGACGGAGGAGGTCTGAGGACGAGTGGGTGGGTGCAGGTGGTAGGTGGAGGGGGGCGCCAGGCGGCAGGGTGATGGGCTTGGCAGCCCACACGGCGCACAGAGTGATGCACTTTCTCCTTCGTGCCCCGACAACACATACATACATAGATACACACTAGCATGGCACTGCGTTTGGTAACAGTGAGTAGAAGCTGCAAGAGCAGATGATGTAGCGGTTGGGACACCTGGGTGAAGTTTGGATTTTGTGTTACGGTGCCTGCGTGCGCATGTATGTATGTCGTTACAGGGTGGTTAAGCTTCACCAGCGGCCCCCTTTCCCGAGGCAGTTCCCTGCTCTCCCCTGCTAGAGGGGAACCCTAATCCGCATGTATGTATGTATGTCGGCTTTGAGGATTACACCCCCGCGGCCGTGTTGGACCCACAAAGGTGAACCTATCCCTTCGGGTCGAAAGTGCGCAGATACGATTCGGGACATACGACAAAATACATGTGATTATTCAGGCCGGATCGTCAGGCCGGATCGTCATACTCCCGTACTGCCGTACATCCTTATACGTACATGACCATCGATGATGCGCTTCTCCGGCTCCACATTCACCGCCGCAAACACCGAATCAGCCAACTGGTTGGACTGCTGCTGAAACGGGGTCGCGCCGCCGGCGGCGCCGCCAGGCCCTCCTGCGCCGTTCGCTGCCGCGGCACTGCCGGCGGCGGCGGCGGCGGCGGCGGCCGCATACCCTTGAAGCTGCGTGTTGCCCCGGATGGACACCCTTGGGATACCGCCCACTGCCGTACTACTGCCGGCGCCGCTGACACCGCCGTCAGCTCCGGTGACGGAACGGTTCCGCCCAGTGGGAATGCCGCCGCCGCCGCCACCAGCGGCGGCGGCGGTGGCGGCGCTGCCACCGGCCTTGCCCCCGCCTCCACCGCTGGCCACAGACCCTTTCCCCGGAGTGCTGACCCTGGGGCCCTTGGACATCCTCCCGCCCGCTGTGGGACCCGAAGGGCCCCCGGCGGCTGCGGCGGCGTTCAGCTTCTGCGCCGCTGCCGCTGCATTCGCCGCCGGCGGCAGCAAGGGGCCGCCGCGCCCCATCATGGAGATACGATTGGGGGCCCCGCCGGGGCCACCCGCCGCCGCCGCCGCCCCAGCAGCGGCAGCAGCAGCGGCGGCAACGGCGGCGGCGATTTGGTTTGGCGTGCCGGAACGAGTGCCGTCTCCGCAAGCGGCTCCGAAACCACAATCCGCTACGAATGCACGCCACTCGGCTTGGCCTAGCGCGAAGCAGAAGTCGTTGATGCCGCTGCCTGTGGGGTGGTGATGGAGGTAGAGGGGGAGGAAAAGACGCAAAAAGGAAAATCGCGGGATGGGGAAAGAATGAGGATGCCGGGTTTCGCGTATACGCATGTACGCACATGTGTTTTTGTTAGTTAAGCAAGCATGGCTTACTTCAAGTGCCGCAGTACGCCTCCCTCCCTCCTCGCTCCCTTCTCTCTCTCCCCCTCTCTCACCTTGCATGCTGTAATAGGTGAACACCGCTCTGAGGGAGTCCTTGTGCCGGAGTATGACGGCCAAACATGCGTCCAGGGAGTGCCCCAGACCCGTGGTTCCGGAGGCCGCTCCGGGATCTTCCGTACCCACAAGGCCGCGAAACGCGTCCTTGCGCACCACGCGGTTCCAGTCCTTGCGCACCTGACGTTCGCGGACTTGGGGGTTCGGGGTGGGGAGAGGGGGAGAGGGGGACGCGGGAGGAGCTTAGGAAGCAATGACACGGACTCAGGTTCTATACACGGCGGGGAGGGCTCAGGCGGTTTTGAGGCGGCCGAAAAAACGGGGGCAGGAGATGAGGGGGGAGTTGGGGGGACGCAGCGTTATGATAAGTTGACGGTTGACGGTTGAGACATGAGTCCCTGGGCCCGTGCACACACACCCATACAGAAACGCTCGCACGGGTGCTTTCCCTCCCCCCCGTTCACCTTGACTTACTTGAATTTGTGTCGATGATGTCCTCCGACTCGCTCTCCGCGGCCCGGGGCAGGAACACACTCTCCTGGGAGGCACTCTGCACGAAGTGCGTGTTCTGGCGGTTGATACCGTTGTCACTGACGGGGCGGAGGGGGATCATCAACTGCTG